ACTGATTGTTCACTGATTGTTCAGCCACATGCAGTTCACCTTTCGTCCACTAGGTGGCTCCGTTTCCCCGCATATGAAACCTGTGGGGAGGTTCAGTTCTTACTGGTTGTAAGAAAGAGACAGTGTCCAGGTTTTATTCACAGAAGGCACAAGGTTACAGTTCAGAATGAGGCTCCATGCTTTGTTCTAAAATGCTTTAAAAGGATTTTAAATTACAGACGGATGATCCAAGAGATCTGTGGAGTCATATCCAACAAACCTCCACTTTAGTTGTGCAGATCCGTGCCTCGAGCAGTTCAGTCTGGTTGAATTGATTGTTTCTTGATGTTGAGTTCTTATAAAGTAACAAAAAAGTCTTCACATTTTTCATTTAAGGAATAGTTTGGGGAACTACCCATCTGATTTCTAGCTGAGCGTTAGATAAGAGTGACGCCTCTCGTATCTGAGCCTACATCTGGGGACAGTTAGCTTAGCTTAGCATAGAGACTGAAGACAGGGAGAAGCCACTTAGCTGGTTCTGTCTAAAGGTTAAAAAATATCTTGGTCATTGTTTTGTTCAGTATTTCAGCTCTCAGCAAGAACAGTCAGACATATAATCACAAATAACATCACAAGTTGTCATTTCACACTTTGGATTAATTAACGAGTAGGCAGATTTTACTTTATTTTTTTTAACATTTTGACAGAACTAGAACCTGTTTCTTCTTGTTTCCAGACTTTGTGCTAAGCTAAGCTAACCATCCTCATCATGTCACTTCACATTTTTAGCATCTTTGCATCTAAATCTCGGCTAGAAAGCAAATAATGAAGTGAAATGAAGTTGTGATCAGCCTGCTCTGTTTTAACTGATTGCAGTCGCAGCTCTGCGGCCTCATGTCTTCTTGGGGTTGGAGTTTTGCTGTTGCTTCTGCTTGCGGAGGTGAGCTTCGATCTCGTGCCTGAAGAAGAGCATCCCCAGCTGACCGTGCGAGGCCTCGTTCATGGCCTTGGACTGCATGCACATGCGGTACTGGTCGGGAGGGAGCTCATCGGCGCAGTGCTTCTCGTGCCACAAGTGGAACAAACCTCGCGACGGCGCTCGGACCACCAGGAGGTTGCTGTGGAGGTACTTTCTGTAGAGGTGGACGTCTTCTCCACCCCAACCTTTGATGTCGATGTCAAAACCTCCTGAGAGGAGAGACCGAGAACATCAGAGGACGTGTTGTTATGTAATGTGTAGATTCAAATCCTCTTCCTACACAAACTATTTCCTCAGCATTTCTGTTTTCAGTGCTGTGTTCGCTTCCTTTTAACAGATGCTGATTATGAACCCTCATTAGTTTGCAGCATGTGATCATAATCGCTGTCTGGCCTGTTTCTTCTTGAGGGGGCAGTGAAGAGATTTTGGACTGATTCTGTGCGCTGGAAAACAGTTTTTTTGACCAGGCGTGTTAAAACATGCATCTTTTAGATGTCTGAAGTATTCATGCCAGCTTTCTCTTGCTCTTTGTCTCCCTGCAGTTTTATTTTGATTATGCCGTCTGTCTCTGTCTCCCCTTTTTTTAACTCAAGCTGCAGGGCTAAACAGAGATAAGACAGATATTTGAGCATGACGGATGACTTGTTCATTGTTTTTGCGTGCACACTCATGGCCTAAAAACATATTCCAGGTCTAGTGAAGACCAGAAACCATCACGACTAAATGATGTTTTTAAAGGAGTAGTTAGGAATTTTGGGAAAACATAATTTATTCCTCGTTAGCTCAGCATAAAGAGCGGAAACAGCCATAAACAGCTCATTTGACTCTGTGTAAAGGTTGAAGAATCTGCTAACCTCTCAAATGAACTAAACCACATCTTGTCATAAATAAATACATATATATTTAGAATTATGTTGATCTTCAAAGATAATCTTGAATTACAGTGTGCTCGTTAGTGAGCTTCAGGCTGCATCCACAGGAGATCTGGTACATTTTCATTTTAAAATGCATAACTTGTACGCCTGGCGTCCACACTCCATTGGCAATTCAGGACTTCTAAACCAGACACTTTTGGACATGCTGGGTGGAAAACTAAGCCCATTGCATTGTGGGCTGGATGGGCAGAAACAGTCTTTTGGAAACGATGACACACACCAGTGTTCACTTTCTGACTGGCTCTTATCACTTACCACATGTTGTCGTGGCTATCGTGCTATCATGGGACACTTCCCTGGAAGAAAACTGACTGCTACTGGTTTCTTTAACATAGATAACGACTTACAAGTCTTCCGACATGATCTGTGTGTGGTTGTGTAATATGCATTTTCAGGCATGTTAGCACGCACTGAGAATATTTCTGAAAGTGAGATAAAACAGTTGGACGGACAGAGATGGTTTATGTTTCAAAATCCGTTTTAAAGTGAACGTGTTAATAATGAAGATTGTTTCTGAGTCCCTGTGCCGAGGACTGATGCACACTTTGAAGGCAGACAGAGGAGGCACATGCGATTCTATTTATACAATGCTGCTATTTTGCCCCTTATATCCAACACAGAAAAACACACAGGCATGGATTTTTCTGAAAGACTGTCCCGTTGCTGTTTTTTCTAGGCTACAAATTGGACTGTAGCATCAATGTGAATATCCCTGAGGTATTCTGAGCACAGCGGTTAGACAGCACAGGATTTCTGGAGAGTTTAGAGTTCTCTGCTGTGTTTGGGTACCTTCGATGAAAGTGCGTCTGCGCAATTACTTCAATTATACCTGTTTTAATGATGGAGATAAAGGTGTGGATGATGTAGAATCTCCTGACACAGCCGCTTCACTTTCCTAGATACGTGCAATCAGCAAGTTTCCACTGTGCAGACACAGATTTTACACGTCTGCACGTTCATTGCAGACTTGGGGGGATGATGAAATTTACAATACGTGTAGCTTTGCAGACCCTTGTGGACACATGAAGGAGGAGAGCCTAAATTGGACTTGGCATGGTTGGCTCGGACGTGACATGGCTTGTTTCCATACAGCTTTGTTTTACGTCTGTGATTACATATGATATTTGGACTACGTTACCTAGTGTTCAATGCAAGGAAATACATTTCTTTATGTAGGGATGGAAACTTTATTACAGCAGCAGGTAAGAGTTTTTTGCCATCCAGTTTTTTACCACAACAAAATCAGGACCAGTGATGCATGATGAGAAATATGTGAGGGGCAAGCTTGCTAGGTGTGTAGCCAACAAACTACAAAAACTAGCCAACGAGCTTCTTTTTAATTATACTTAATTTCACTGTAAACATACTAAAGCAACTGGAAAGACTAATTTGGTTTCTAACTTCCTGGCAGACAGTGTGGTCAAGTTCACATTTTTTTTCAATTGCTCAAGGCAAAAGCTGGACCAGAAAAAAACGGAAGGAGGAGTTTCGCAAACGCGTCGTGACTCACATGTGCTCACGGAGCTGCGGGAAAAGGAGCCGTTAGAGGTGCTGCTTGGCAGACTGTTGCTACCTTTCAACGAAGCCAAGCTAACTGTTTTTGCAAGATGCTGCTTGCTGAAGCTAAACACTGACTGCACAGACATAACAGCCGAATCAATCTTCTCTTTGTTTATTTATTTGGTTCCCCAGGGGTAAACATAAATAAATACATGTACTTGCATATAACCCTCAGCGAGAAAGTGAGTAAGCGTCTCCCCAGAATGTCAAAACTATTTCTTTAAAGCCATCTTCTGGCCTTGGAGCTGTGCTTTACACTTCAGTACAGTTGAGAGTGAATATTGTGCATGCCCTTGTGTGTGTGTTTGCAGGAACAAACTATTAACTCCACTGTGGCCTCTAATTGATGACACTTTGGAGGGGAACTAAATTGATGTAAATCTGTCTTGAGAGCCAATATTCCTTGCCCAATATACAGATGGAGCGGACACGGGGCGGTGAGATATGCTAATATATGCTGCTGCTGCTCAGAGCCGTTCTGTGCATAATAATATCATAAAATCTCCTCCCTGTTAAGAAAAGTAATGCGATACTGAACCATTTGTGTTCTGATGTTTTTCATGTCCATTAAGCTATGGCACCATTAGAGGAGCAGTGTGCCTATTTTTGTAGCCGCTGAAGTAGCTCATTTTTACCCTGCATTATGTAACGCCTCTACACAGATAATCAACCCCCGGGAGCAACTGTTTATGAATTCCTGCATTGCTAAGATTTCATGATGGGCGTGAGTGCGGTACGTGTCGTGCTGTGACTGTTGTTATTCTGTTATATTTACCTATGTTGATGAAGTCAGACCTGTATTGGCATGTCATTCCGAAACCAAAATCCCTCCAGAAGCCTGTGTCTTTCTTGATCACCTGCGGGGGGAAAAGAACTGAGCGTTAGAGCTTATGAAAAGAAGTGTATCTTTTCAACACACACACAGGAGGATTTGTACACTTCACAGCAGGGGAAGGGAAATATTTCTAAACCTCTTAGAAACGTCGCACCACACTGAGTACGGTATTTTCCACAAGTGACTCGCTCGGCGTTTGAAAAAGAGAAAGGAGAAGATAGATTTGATTGTGCATCTTACCAGCTGTTGCTCCACAGGTGGGACGTGCTCGGGACTTCCGTAGATCAGAGTGGGGTTGTATTGACTGAATAACACCGGGTAGAACACCTTTTTCCCTGAGATGCACACAGCGGAGTCAGACAATTCAGCTGTGACGAGCGCTGAAAGCCAGTTTAACATAGCAATAGGTTTCACTTGATCGTCTTTAATTAGATTTTGAACATCTACAAATATGCTTTGACCCGCTATAATACTAATGTCACCACTTGGAATTACTTTCAAGATCAAGACAATGATGTAAAAGAAACCATCACAGCGTCACGCACTACACTGATGGGATTCACATTATACATCTCCTGATTGTATTTACGGCCCGTCTGAACTCAATACTTTAAACTTAATACGTCTCTAATTATACTCAGTCTTGTCTGAACTCGATTTTTCCCCACATATGAGCATTTGAAGTAGTCTGTTTCTCCTTAATGTAGATTTTATTTCAATTAAATATATCTTTAATTATATTTCTGCATATCTCAGATGAATCAAAAACCAATCACAGGTACCAATAATTTCCCAGGCCTGGGATAAATAAAGTATTTTTCTATTCTAAGTCTACCTGAACCTGCAACAGTGCACTTATGGCTTGTCATAATTCTTTAGATAGTCATGCAAGTCCTGAAAAAAGAATCTCTGCAAGCTGTTTTAACCCAAAAAAGGGTCTAACTGACAATTCCTCCTTGCATTTCTACTTTTATTTTAAATTCATTTTGACTATTTAAGTCAGATTTCTATTCAACATATCTCCAAACAGTTTTTGCAAAGTAATTAGAGACACCTGAAACTGAAGTTTTGACTAGTCATAAATGCCTTTCTCGTATCTTCAATGTAAGTCCTGTCAGTCTTTTCAGTGTGTGTGCAGCATCTCACCGGGTTGCGTGTTGAGTCGGCAGGTGTTGAGGAAGTCGGCGTTGAAGTAAATGTCCACGTCACAGAAGAACAGCAGCACGTTGCCGCCCTTCCAAGCTCGCGCCCCGACGTCTAGACCGCGTCCCCGAGAAAACTCCTCGTCCAGCTGCAGCAGAGTGTAGTTCTTAAAGTTGACCTCCCTTTAAAGGCACAGAGACAAAGAGGTCCATTATCTTTAAGCACAAAAAATGGCATGGCACTTCTGATGAACTCATTTGAGACAAAAGATCTGATTCAAATAAATGAAACTGTTTTTGCAGCAGACGTGGGAGGAGATTACAAAATGATTTGTCTTAAAGCAAGACTTAATTTTATTCAGGATTTTAAACAGTTTCTCTGCTATGATGTTACACAGATTCTTCCCAGAATATCAACATTGCTTACTTTAAATGAGTGTTATTGTTCACTAGTTCCCGCATACCTTGACCTCTATATCTCTCGTTTTATGTATGTATTGCAGCATTAATTATTAGTTTTATGCTAGTATATTTAATATAAGTTAAAGTTGAACTGTTGCTCTGCATCTTTAGTTGACTCCTTTCTCTACTGGCCTTTAATCTTGCTCCTTGAACTTCATGGAACTGAATTTCTCATCTATTATTTTTGTTTCGTTATCATTTTTTATCTGGTTTTATCACTTGGTGGCAATTAGTTTGTTTCTGTTTAACTATTTTATCAGGTAATTATTTTTGGAATGTGCACCACTAAAGTGCAACATGACCTGAAAAGATGAGGGCACGAACCCGCCTCCTGCATTTTTACAAAAACTTGAAGGCTTATCTTGTCAAGGGGTTCTCAAAAATTCCAGCTTAAATAACTTTATTATTCCTAATCCTCCCATTCTGCCTTTTGTGCCTTTAAATTAAAACATAACGACGGCACAAATGGCCCTCCAGAAAGTTCACATCGGTTCACAAACTCTCAGTCTGATTCTCCACAAGCTTCAGCCGGAACCGAAAATTAAGCCCGCTGAAAAACAAAAGCTCCCTCCATCGCTGGCTTTCAAGGCTGTGGTACGAGGAAAGCGAAACAGCTGGATCCAGATGTACACAGCTGTGGCTTTTCCCCTTAACCATAACAATTCACACAGTTAGTGACTAATCCTTTACTCATGCACAGACACATACACAAACTCTCTCTCACACACACACACACACATGCATTGACGTCGGATAAAGGCTAGTGAGGAAAAACTGGTTCACATGTCTCACTCTGAAGCAGAACAAACAGGATCTAACCTCCTCCTTGGTTCGTGTGATGTTGGGTAACACAACACATGGAAAACAGTGGACAGGGGGGCAGGTACACAGAGGCAGACACACACAGCTTTGTTAAAAGGAAACCGGGATGACCAGAGGAGACATTTCGCCTGAGGCAGCTTGAATCATGCTCCCCACATCTCCATCTCTTTGCTGTTTTTGTGTGTGTGAATAGTGTGTATCAGTGTATTTATTCATGTGTTTCGCTGTGTAAAAGCCTTTGTCTCGCTTCCATCCTTTCAGCCTCTCCCATAAATAAGGCATAATGAAACCTTTTCATCCACTGAATCCCAGAGAAACATAAACATGACACCAGTTACGAGCATCTTTTTCTTGTGTCTGAACAACAACTCCGGCACAAACAGCATCTTCTGATGGCTTCAAACGGCGAGTGAAATCTTCAGTAAAATTACAAGACGTCTGGGAGTACCTGCCCACATGTGCTGTCGGTCAGCAGGTACGTCAATGAACAGTCTCCGTGTCTGTCTGCAGTTTATAAATTCAAACAGAGTCGGTTTGTTTCAAAGTCTGCACAGAGTCCCAGGAGAGGTGGACCCACCCGCTGGCACTAAACTGTCCACAGATGGCAGAGACGGAGAACAATAGCTCTGTTTGTCTCTAACAATGCTAATGCAACACCAGTTGATTCAGCTTTCATTCTAATGGGAAAAGAAGCTCATTTGTCAGAGATGAAGAGGAACAGTAAATTTCTAAGAGGAAAATCTGAATGACTCAGTGAGCAAATATATGCTTATTCATTGCAAACAAAGCAGACAATATCAAATTAAGATGTTATGTGGTTTGCTTTATGTCCTCCCTCTTTTATTTCCTTCTGTTTTAAAGGAACAATTTAACATATTAGGGCTCACGCATATTTGCTTTCTTCCTGAGTTTAACGGGAAGATTGATCCATTTTACATCCATTTCCTTCAGGTTGGGGTGACAGCAGCCTACAGAGGTCGCTCCAGATGTCCCTCTCACCAGCAGTGTTTTCCAGCTCCTCCAGGGGGATCTCCAGGCGTCCCAAGGCCAGATGAGATATGTAATCCCTCCTGTGAGCGCTAGGTCTCCGGCAGGGTCTCCTCCCGGTTAAATATGCTCGGAAAACCTCCAAAAGAAGACGACCCAGAAAGCATAAAAATAGGATGCCTGAACCACCTCAGCTGGCTCCTTTCAGTGTGAAAGCTGCAGAGACTCCGAGCTCCTCGCCAACTTTAAAACCCCCTTGAGACATGCTTTCCTTTCCTTTAACCTCACTGCAACTTAGCATGTTGGCTTCATGTCTGAAACAGAGCCCGGGTAACTTTTATACTTGTTATGCCACCTTACTAGGTCAGACCTGGTACCATTTCTGTATCACTGTGAAGGCAGCACAAGCATAGGTGACAGTACGTTGAGTTGTTTGAAGTGATTTTCCACATTTTAGCACCAATTTGCCAGACAGTTTCACATCTATTACAAACTGAAATGTCCATTAAAAGAAAGCTTGACTGCAAAGACAATACAACCACTCAGATTTATGAGATCTAGCAATAATAAATGGAATCAAAGTTTGGGCAAAATGTTAGCGAGAGCTGAAGTTCAGTTTGTTGCTTCCTGCCGTTTGTAGGAGTCTTTCCTCTGAATGTATTAAAAACCTACAGCATCAGACAGCAAGATCCATATCAGTCTCTCAAAGGACAGAGAGTAAACGCAGTTACTATATTAAGTACTTATAAATCTAAATTATCCCGACATGGAGTGAGGACTGATCAAGATCGAACAGCAAGTCACACTGTGTACCTTTTTTTTTTTTTTTTTTTTAACCTGCCGTCTCACAGAGTCACAGTTTATAAGATGCATTCAAACCAGTTGGTACGTAGCGGCCATCCTCAGGTTGAATCCCAAACTCATCCCAGCTGTCGGGACATTTTACTTACTGTTTGTGAAGCAGTAATTAGATTATCCCCACACATGGCCAGAATTATAACTGTTTAGTCAAATCATAAATAAACTAGGTTATTAGTTGTTTGGCCTGTTGGAAAAGCTTCGTCTTAGTTCAGATGTAGTCTTTTGTTTATTAGTGGATGTATTCTACAGCAGTGGATGTACTGGCCAATCTTGCTTGTAAGACTAGTATTGTGCAAGTGTTGTGGCTTTCTCCATCACCGTTGTGTGTCTCAACACAGCCGTGAGAAAAATTTATGTAAACCTGACCTTTGTCTGAATGACAGAACGCTGCGACATTAACAGATTGATGAAGCAGCAAAGTTGCATATCTAATATCTGAAGAGGGCTTAAGGCTGAGTTTTGAAGCTCATACCTGTACACTAAATATAAAGCAGAAGCCAGCAGTCGGTTAGCTTAGCTTAGCATAAAGAGTGGAAACAGAGGAAAAGTATGAAATCTACCTTTGAGCACCTGAAATCATTTTTGGACTCAACACTGACTATTACTTTACTAATTAATCTGTACAATGTAAAAGTGACTATTTTACACTTTACATACTTAAATAGAAGCATTTAATAGAATAAAGCACTTTGTGACTTTTGTCTGGGAAAAGCGCTTTATAAATAAATTTTACTTACTTACTTACTTACTTACTTAAATAGCAAAATTCAGTGTGTCTGTTCATGGATTTCAGAGGTTTTGGTAGCAAGTTTGGCTACTTTTTGCAACAGCCTTTATGCTAAGCTAGACTAAACTGAGTGGCAGTAGTTGTGAGTGCCAGAAAACTTATCTAACTTTCAAATTGGTGCATTTCCCCTGATTGTGAACAGATTTCTGGAGTCTTGTTTTATATTTCTGCACAATTAAGTGAGATTATTTCTATGTTTGCGGCATGTTTGGGCCCGAAAAACTAAAACACCATGACTTCAACTGCAACTGAATTGATCTAAATCTATCTTGAAAATAAATATTCCTCACTGAGATGGAGAGGATATTCACAATAGAAAAATAAAATGCTAATAAACGGTATTGCTGTAAGACTCTAGCCACCTATCTCTTAGCTATACCGGCTTCATCCTGTAGAGGGTTGTATAGCCAATGGATGAATGATCTGCTTTAATACTTGAAGCAGAGAAAACTGGCTATGTACAAAATTTTTAAAAATCAGACTGCTGGCTTAAGTTGTTTGTACAAACAAGATGTAACACAATAATTAGTAAGCTTAAGGGGTGCGAATTGGCAGATTTTACCCTTGCACAGAGCCAGACTTGTTATTTTACTCTCTTTTCAGTCTGTGTGCTAAACTAAGCCAATTGTGTCCTGAGCAAATGTATGTTTTGAAAGACATGTAGTTTTAAATAATTCATTAGCAGATTTATGGTGGTGATAATTTCCTGATTACCAATAATGTTTAGGGGAAAAGGCGATTGTCTCTATTTCCAGAGAGCCAAATCTCTATTCATCGTGGTAAGTGCTTGGTGTGTGTGTGTGTGTGCAGGTCTGAGCGCATTAGCGGTTTAAATAATGCTCACAGGCATTTGTGTGTGTGGGTGTGTGGGTGTGTGTGTGTGTCGCCTAAATGCAAGACCAAAAATATGAACGCAGGCACAGGCGCCACTGTTGTGTCAAGTGGACTCCACTTAATCCGCACAATCCTTGTTTTCTAAATTACTTTTTACATCCCGCTATTTTTCTTCCATCTAACCCACAGGCAGCAGCCCCCTTTTTATGGCCGAAAATAGTCAATTTGTTTACTGTAGGCGTGATGGCTGGTACCTAGTAGCAGCTAAATTGTTGAAATTGTGTCAGAGTGAGAAGCCTGTAAAGAGCTATCCTGTTGTGTCTCAGCAGCAGGTCTGATCCTGTTAGTTCTGCTCAGTCAGGACAGGGAGGGGAGGACTGACTGCAAACATGGTGTTTGCTGAATACAGTCTTGACTATAAGCTCCTCAT